AGTTTTTCTTTTCATGCAGAAATCCGTAAGCAGATTTTTGGCTTAGCAAGTCCACAACTAGTTTTTAGATACTAGGAATTAATTATTTACCGTGTAAATTATTGTTATCATCAAATTTAATTAAAATTATTTTTTCTTTATAGCCGATTGATACGGATTCATTCTGGGTACGATATATTAAAGAAGAATTAGAGATTTTTAGAGAAAAACAGATTCTGGTTATAGAGATTTATATGAATGCTGTTTGCAGACGCAAAAATTATCAGTGTTAGAGAAAATTTTGGAGTTTGCTAGAAAACAACGTATTTTATCAAAAATCAAATAACTTTTATTATTTAAATGTTTTCAAAAATGTTTAGCACTATTTTCTTACATTTTCTAATTACAAAAATCATTATGTTTCTATTTTTTTTCTAGGATTTGTTTTGCAGCTATTTTTTTATAATTTTTATCACTTTTTCTATAACAAATGTCATATGAGTTGATAGGTATTGGTTAGAACTGCTTTTGATAGAAGATGATTCTGATTTGATAGGATGACCTTTAATCCTTAATAAAAATCGTTATATAGTTAATAACATATTATAATTAAAAAATATCAGTTTAAATAACTAACTATGAGAAGTCTTATCACTAGATGGTCTCTTTGCTTTTGTTCCATAAGTGCATTTTGAAGAGCTTTTCATACTTCCCTTTTCTGCTAAGGGTTTTTTCAAAAATCAAAATGGTTTAAGAAAACTAAAAAGCAGCATCTCAAATTAAATGAACTTACTACTTTCCCCTAGTCACTCTGTACACAATTACTACAGTAATGAACTACTCGTGGGTCATTCACTATAATGTCCGATATTGGTCGAATTTTTGCAATATTGGTGATAGATATTATGTACGAAACTTTCTCTGTAAAAAAAATATTTAATATTTATTCAAAGCCTATCGTTTTGTATTATCTACATACTTGCAAATATAACAGGAATAAGACTCTATGTCTTCAATTTCAATATCCGAATCTAAATCAATATTTATGACCCAATTTGAATTAGCTTGTTCCAATGAATTGGTAGGCGACGGGTATGAACGCTCCTCATTGATGGAATTTGACTTGTTTGGTAAAAAATTTGATTGAGAATTCATTATTAGGTCAGGGGTATAAATATTCCTTTATGATACAATTTGACGTGCTTGGCGATAAACTTGTTGAAGAATTCGATCTGCTAGACTTGTCATCAACAATCATCTGTAGAATTTTAAATTAAAACAAATTAAACTGTAAATAGTTTTTTCTCGATTATCATCATAACTAATTAATGACATACTTCAATGTGTTCATTACCTAATTCATTTGATAAGAGAACGGTAGGTACAGCTAATTTTTTGGCAGCATTATTTGGCCATCGTTTTCCACTGTACTGTTCTTGTACGACTTCTTCCATACGTTTTAACGTTGTTTTAAAGGAACTCGGATCTTTGGTACGACGCAACTGTTTTAAACTTTATTTAATGAACTTTTTCAATTCTTTGGAGGTATCCATGATGATCAATTGATGCACAGTATGATATGAATAACCGATAGTTATGATAAAACAACTAATTCAATGAGATAAATCTGGAATCACAAGTATCAGTTGAACGAAAAATCGTAACGATACAATCCACATTAATGTGTAATACGAATGATATAAAGCTCACAGATATAGTTAACAAACAATAATAATAATAATAATAATAATAATAATAATAATAATTGGTAGCTATTAGTTGAGAAAATTTACCATTGAAACCACGATATTTTTAAAAATAAATTGTGTTGAAAATCTGATTCATGAAACTACGATTTTCTAACCTAAACCTTCTATTCGTTACTGACATTTTCAGTACCAGAATATAAATATCGGTGAAACCATATAGTAAACAAAAAATATAAAGATTTAATACTATTTTTTAAATAAAAAACCGTGCGATTTAAATGACAGAAGAGACTGATTTGTTTTGTTAAAATATTACAACTTAATTATATTTAGGAGTACGGTAAAATATAGTATTATTAAGTATAACGATTTTTAGACGAATATATTGTTATTGAATTTCTATTATAGTTAAATTATAATGTACTTCATGATAAGAATATTTTATGTAATATATCTAAGTATAAAAATGGTTAGCATTTCATATATTTGAATTTACCTATTCCGTTTGATAATTATTAATTTATTTTATTTTATATAATTTGGTTTATTAAATAGTTAACTAGTACTAGGTGTATAAGTTTTAGTTGTACGAAATATTTAAAATTTAACAATGTGTCATTTTTAAAAATGATGCGTACATTAATTTACATTTAAAGGTTCCATTATAATATAAAATATTGAAAAATTAAATTTTTAAAAATCTTCTAGTTAAATAAATATTGTGATACGTTCTTTTTTTTGTAATACATGATATAATTCAGTATATTGTATGCTCGTTAAGGTTTTTTTAGCGGTATATTTACAAGGAATTCAATATTGACAGTTCTTGCTAGAATAATAAATTATAATTTTTTTTAAATAGCTAATTCATATATGTTGACATTTTGTAGTTGTCGGAGGTTCAAAGGGAATCGAAGTTTATTCTCGTAGAAAAATCCTACATAAATGATGAGTATTAAACCTACGGGTCAAAAACTTTCAACAACTTTGTCTGTGACTTCGTAAACCTTAGCCGTCGACCGTATTGCAAGCCGCCGCTTTTAGTTCACTGCTGTTAGTAAAGAATTGTAACAACAACAAAAGTAAATTAAATCGTAATGAGATATAATATGAAATGTTAACGTTTAATGTATATGTTTGTATAAAATATATCAGGGGTGGCCAACATGAATGGGTTCGTGGGCAAACGGTTAAGTACAATAATTCCAAGAGCCAAAATGTTTATAGATCATTTTTAAATAATTTCATAATTTTTTATAAACTTATAGCTAAAATAATAATAACATGATAATTTAATTTTAATTTTATAAATAATACGCGAACCGCATCTGACAATGACGAGAGTTACATGAGGCACGCGAGCCGCAAGTTGGCCACCCCCGAAGTATATAAACATCAAAATTACTATCGACTGTACTTATAACGTAGACATAAATATGCACCTGTTTGAAGCACTTATTACCGTCAGGTATCGATTAGATATTGATCACGTACGAGTATATTATACATAATATCTTACCATTAAGATATAATACTATATAATTATACCGTAGCAAGGATCGGATTAAGGGTTACATTTCAATAAGATACATTTTATTACACATTTTTGTAAAACAATGAAAGTGTTTTTGACGCAAAATACGTGGTTTTATTATACAATATATTTATTTAACAAAAAATATAAATACATAAATACAATAAATGATTGTCATCTTAATTTAGGCCAACGGGCCTGATTAATGTGCTGTCGCAGCTAAACCGGCAGTCTTGTGTTTTTCACATAATCCTAGTTGACGTACAAAGTAATGCATTGAAAATCATTGCTGCATGTCATAATAACAAAAACGGTATCTGTAACGAAAACGTTTATATCAAGACCTGTACATGGCACGTAGAATACATTTATAAATTAAAATTGAATTGTTATAGGTATGATTGTATTTGAGGAACGGATGGAAAAGCAGGATACTTATTCGTAGATTAAAGAGGTATTTTAACGGATTTTTTTTCTGGTATAACTCCAATACTCTGCAGAAACGAAACTTACGTGTGTACTAATATTTCGATGTATATTATCGAGACGTCATTTGGTTTGAACAATTATAACGGCCGATCCGATTGGAAAAAATAACGGTTAGTAGCTATGAACTGATTAACAGTTCTGTACGGCTGACCGGTGAAAAAACCGTCTATGGTTTGGTTTATCGTGCTTTCAGCTAAAAAATCAAAAAACAGCAATTTATAACGAAATGTTGTAATACGTATGTGTTCATTGTATGTTTATAAAAAATTATTGAGATAGAATTATAAATTTTTAAACAATGAAACGACGATGATGATTATATATGTTTTTAAAAATACTGAAAATAATCAAATCGCTTTCGGCGTGAAAAAATAAAATAATAAAGCATCGTACTCGGATCGCTCGCGTTTTCCATCATGGTACTCGATATGAGATGGACGAGAATCTCATA